TTAAGCTTCATATTTCGTCGTCTCCCGGACGAAGAAACGTAACTCTATTCCAAGATTGTCAAATCGGCGCAAAAAATTGCATATTTTATCGAAATGCGCCTGTGAAATTTTAATCCAAAATTGTCCTGATTTTTGCATGAAATTCGTGATCATTGAAATTTTTAGTTAAAAATTTCCAAGATTCTCCTCATTAATCATATAAAATTAATTTGCCAGGAGAAATTTGACAACATTGAAATATGGTTACGTTCTTGGGTGCGAGAAATCGACGAGTTAGAGGGAAATACAAGCTTTGAATCGATTGAAACCATACTCGAAAATGAGAAACAAGATTTTCCAAGATCGTTTGTTCATTTTTGAAAAGACAAATCCTATAATTTTCTTAGGGCAAGCCTGAGCTCGCCGACAACTGGAAGACAGTTTCTCAGGAAGGCTGTGTGAAAAATTGTGATAGAAACCAGGTTCTCAAATAAATGGTCCGTTCTATATGAGTTAAAGACATACATCGCGGACATGACATGATTATTGTGCGAGTTTAAAAATTAATATAGTTTACATAGTAAGCTGTATTTTCGTCTGTCCAATCAGACTCATCATTAAAATTGGAAATGTTGATGAAAGAAATGATAAAGCGAAGAATGAGTTCAATAAAAAATGCAACACGGATACGAAGAAACCGAAGAGGAGGGCAAGAAAATTACTATGCCATCTATATTCGCTTGAAAATACATCCTTCCCTCCCCTCAACTAAAATCAGATTTTTCCAACGATGATGAGAGTATCCTGAGAACGAAAAAGTTTCATTTATATCTTTTATCACTTTTCTTTAAAGTATGAGGAGATCGGTCCTAAAGTTTATTTTTAATAACCTTTGAAATGTGGTTTGGATCGAGCAGCGACGCCACGTAATTGAATTAATGATCCACCATTCGTTTACTTTCTCATAATTCCGCTAACTTATCGGAAGTTATGCTTGGAAAATATGATATCCTTCCCTTTGTTGGCTCTTAACTCAAATAACTCATATTTAAAACGTTTACATTGACTGTGCTACAATTTTAATTGCTAGCGTTTCGTTTTATCTATGTCTAATTTTCTTTATCCATTAAAAATGAAGAGGGTCAGTGGCCTAAGAGCGCAGGTCAACCGGGCTTACTTTTAACATTTAATTAATTTGCATCCTTACCCCTCAGAGGACATTATTTTTATGGCGAATATTTCTCCGAGTTTGAATGAGCTCAAGTGCTTCTTTAGCAAAACATTCAAAAGATACAAAAGGGCTCTTTCAAAAATGAGAAGAGCCGTATTAATTTTTTTGTCGATGCAATTGCTGTATCGTACAGCAACTTGTTTCTCAATTAAACTCTTTGTAACTAACTCGTGAGTCTTTTTTTTTTTTTTTAAACACTCCACAATCCTCAAATCTGATAAACCTCTATAATACATTGACTTTCATCCTCCTAATTAAGCTCCCGGAACAAAGAGACGTATACCCGTTTCTGTTTGAAACATTAGCACGCACATTTATGTGTACCTATCACGCGCACCAAGTACTTCGTCGTAAGTAGAACAGAGATCCTTCAGTTTTTGGTATATGCAACATGGGCGGTCATCAAGCACGATTAGTTGTATCCAAAATTTAGCCACCTTTTCACCCCAGGTACAGGAGAAGTCGTATACGCAGGGTTGCCATGGCTCCTTTTTTAGTAACTATTTTAAAGTTAGAGTCTTTTTACTTTCGTGGGAGTAAAATCATCTCAGGTTCTAATATTACGCCTATTTCGGAAAATTACTCAAGTATTCAGGTTTTAATCCGCAGTAACCATTCATTTGATCATTGTCGCATTCATTTTTTCACGTAATTTTTCAGCTGTATCTTGATCTGGACGGATTCCACCTATGTTTAAGTTTAAAATTTACGCACCTACACGTAAAACTAGAAAACGTGCTGAATCTTTTACTTATACAGTTTAGTTTATCATAACCTTTATCAACGATATATTCTTTATCATTTGTTAAAGTTTGGCAATGATCTTCCTGAGGCAGTTGTTATTTTAATTCGTAAATAACCATTTTTCAAACTGCAGTTCAAGCGAACGGCCAAAGGTGCTGAGGTGTCGCTTTAAAATAAACGTACATTACTACTAGTTGCTGATACATTCGGTTCCTCAGTCCTTTGGTCTTATTTTAGTCTTTTACTGTGGTTGTTACTTCTGGTTATATTTTTTTTTATTTTCATTTCTGAGTTACTCTCTTTGAATGAAGCTTACTTTAATAATACTTTATAATAATCTTCTTGTAACTATTTTTGTATCGACCTCCATTGTTTTAAATGGAGCGTATGCCCCGTAAAAAATGGAGAGAGGGGGGAGAAAATAAAATTAATAGTCTCTTATGGCCGACCGATGCATTTTCAAGTGTAATATTTGTACAAAAAAATCGAATGAATTGAGTACGTGATTAGTTTTTATTCAGGGAACAAAATGTGCGACAGCAAAATGTATGTTTAACTTACTCTGCTCTTTTTGCGTGAGACGAAAAATATTGTGGAGCCAATCACTCAACTAGTCGTTCATTTCCTCTCTCTATTACTTTCGCTTACAAGTACAATTACTTACTTTGACAAACTGCTAATTGATCCGGCGGTTCAAATGGACCTAAAAATAATTTTTTTCCAAGACTTGCTCTCACGCAATTCGCTCGAACCCTGCGCTCTAATTGCTTTTAAAATATTGAAGCCAACGGGATATTCGCCTGTCACATCTATCCTCATATTTCCCACATTTCGCCGCCCTCCTGACATAAGGGCGTAATTACATTTTGCAATGAACCCTGTTGCCCGTCCAATTCAATGCTTTTCTGGGCTCATATCAGTGTGTAGTTACGTCTTTTTGTTAGACGGGCGATGATTTATTTCCACACACTCCACACTGGCACAATTTTAAAAAAATCTTAAGATCTAAGGTTCAACGGCCGGGCCTTTACTCAAAGATGAAAATAACTTCAGTAGAGTTATCTATTAATCAATAAACCATGTTGGTTTTTGAAATATTGTATCTTCGCAAATAATTTTAATATTTGTCCATTAAAAATGTCAAAATTATCTTACTCACAATAACACTTACATCTACACGAGCCAACAGCCCGCAGTCTATTATTGTAGAGACTATGTTTTTTGAAATCAAAATGTAAAAAAAGGAGTGGACACTTCAAACCAACAAAATTCGGATATAGAAGGTTTAGTTGCATAATCGATTTCATCCTCTTAGTAGCTGATTAGAAAATGCGAATTTAATGAAGAAAACTTCTCAACTTGCTGCTTTTTATACAACACGAAAGCGAGACGATGTGCGTTGCGCTACTTATTAGAAAATACACGATCCCCAAAAGTAAAAGCTTACGCCAGTGATGTGGTGGGTACCAGAGTGAGAGTCTCTAAGTGACGCTAATGCAACCGCACTCTTCCTCGAGTCTAAGAATGATTGTATAGATTTGAGCTCATCTGCAACACTCACTAATTAAGACGATAGTGACCCGCAATTACAACATCCATACGATTTGTTTGCCCGGTATCTAATTAATAAACCATGCTAAGATCGGGTACCTATCTCATGGGTGCATGCACAATTCATCGAACAAGTAACAACTAGCTTTATCGTAATAGTTTGAGTTGGAAATATTGTTCAATGGATATCAATTCCTAAATACAAGTATGAACTCAAAGGTGAAGGGATCTCGTCCTCCAGTTTCTATGAGAGTCTACCTTAGAATGATATCCTTGATGGAGAAAATCATTGTAAAAGTGACGGCTTAAAAAGTCTGAACTCTCGCCTACGCCTACAGGTTGAATCAGTTCACATAAAAATGGAGAAAAACAGAGAACAAATTTGGATTTCCTGTAATTGTTGGAAAATTTATTTTTCTAAATTTCCCTTTGAATGAGAGGCAAAGACAATAGGCCTTCAGCCCTCTTGTTTTTTTACTACAAAAAATAGGTTACTCGAAGTTGAGAATTATCCTTCGTCCTAATTTAACCATCGAGGGGTAGAAAAAATATAGTATACCCTTTTACGAGCACCTAAATCCAAATCTGCAGGCCAACTCTCCAAATCCCGCTTCAGATGACTACTGTATAAAGCGGAGTTCTATGATTGGTTGGCTGCACCACTGAATTTCTTTAAGAGCCCTTTATAGGGTCAGGTAATAAGGGTTAATGGGTTGTCCATAAGCAAATGATACGCCTTTTAGATTACTGATTTCGACCCGACTGAGTCACCAAAAGATGAAACCAGCCAATCACATCAGTTCATTCTAAATAAGTCTCATCATATTTCATCGACAAACATATCAGAACCCTCACCGATGGACCAGCCAAAAGTTTTAAGATAGGACGGAGTATGAAATTGCTACACTGAGAAAAATTGGATTCATTAAAACAAGGAACCTCGCTCTCCTAGAACTTCTTCATTGCAGTGAGAAAACCGTTAATTTCATTTAAAAACTGTTAACAATGCAAAGGGAAACGGGTCAAAGCTCTTCAAAAGGGAACCAAGCAACGTCTGATGTTGCCAAATTTCGTTGGAAAAGTTATTTCTTTACAAAAACGTACACGTGCGGATCCTTTTGACAGTTCCAGGGAATTCCCTCGGCGCCTTTAAATACGATTCCAAGAAACTTTCAAGAGAATCTGTACAGTCATTCAAAGGAATGATTCACCAAATAAAATTCTACATCAGCTGATGTCATTTGGTTCTCGTTCGAGAAACACTGTCAAACTTTTATTTCTAACGACGAAATATTAGGCGTTACCAAATTTTCCTCCTGTCATTATAACTGCAACAATTTTAAAGTGCAACATGACATTTCTCGTCGTCTCCACTAAAATTTGCCATGGGCCTATGAGTCGCTGCTTCACGTAGCAGTTACTTTCGTTGTAATGAATCTAATGTCGTTCAGTGCAGGATTCCATTTAAAGGTTTAATGCAGCTCAATAAACTTACGATTTTTGACTGTGGTTCCTGTGACTTTTCTGAGACATCTTGACGTAGGGTACTCCTCCTCAGTGACGGTGAAATGCAACTCCTTCCAGGCTTTATTAAAACTTCCACGCGAAGATAAATTCAAGGAAACTAACTACGAGCGCGGTAAATTCACCGCTTAGGTCCACTCTCGAAACGAGGGAGAATCCTGAGGCGCCGCACGGGCAAGACACCGCAGCACGAGATAAAAAAACAACAACAAAGAACCCTTTTTTTAATTTATTTCTATTATCGCGCGGGGGACGCTGCGGCGCGGAGAAAAATGGGCACAATTCGCGGGTGAAAAATATTGAATTTAATTAAAACGAATTGAAAACGGGCGGATAGCAAGTTCCCGCGCTTAGACGCTAAGTAAGAAAAATATTCGCCCCGCGAGGTTCCCGGGTCCGCGCGGCGTGGATCAGCGCGGGCTACTATCCTCCTAACTTTGCTTTGTTTGGTACAAAAGTGAGGTTAAAAATAGGTTCGTGTGAGATTCTGACGGGTTACACGCTGGATACATTACGAGGGCGCGAGAGAGAAAAGGCAGCCGGGGCGCCCCGCCGCGCAGTGGGGCAATAATGCCTTTGTCTGGACCCACGTCGCCGACTTTTCACCGCGTCGCCAAGAGCAGCGTGTCTCCTTTCCATAGAAAACTTCTCTTTTAAAGAAGGACCTTTAACAATGCCGCAATATTTCCTCACCTTCCGGCCAAAGTATCACAAGCGCCACGCGACATTTAAAAATTTCCGCCACCATTTTATTTTCTTACAGAGGAATTGTTCAACGAGGCTGTCTGAAAATATCACTAAATTGTCTTTGTGCTGCCAATAAAAGTCAGTAAAATTTTCAAACAGGTCCAACTAATCACGGAAAAAACGAGTTTAGGGCTGGTACCTGCGCGGAAGGTCCGGGTTTACCGGGTAGGTAAAATTGCTCTACCTCATACCCTATAGGGGCAGGCCCAGCGCGGGTAGAGCCCAAACCTACCTGCTTCAGGGTTCAGCCCTACTTGGTAAGGGCTAGACCCTGCCCAGTTAGAGCTGGGCTTTACCCACGCAGGGCCTGCCCCTGTGGGGTAAGAGGTGAAGCAATTCTAGGGCTCAGCCCTAATTTCATTTTTTCCGTGATTTCTCTATGAAAAAATAGAATAGCGGCGAAAATTTGGAGACGTCGCATCGCGCTTTTGATAACTTGGCCGAAAGGTGACGATTTGTGTCCATCCCTCCACGTGAATGGATTTTTAGCATACTTTTTGAGGGATCTGATCGGCACAAAACGAGTTTCTTTACCACATCTTTTTTAAAACTTGCTACAACCTAAAGTTGAACTTTGAATAACCTCTTTAGCTTCTCTTTAACTTCTTAGCGTAATTTCATTTCAGTATATAGACTATGTAGTTAGACTTATGTACTCATGACATGCATGTGTTTTCATTTTTGCAAGTGGAACCCTGTAAAATTTGCGGCTAGGTACACTCTCCTCCACTTCCCCTTCTCCTCCTGCCGAAACTTTAAGAGGAGCTACACCAGACTCACAAAGTTAGAGTGAAGTAAAAAAGCTCAGAAAAGTGGCAAACTCAAATGTAGATGGCGACCTTCGCCCTTCCCGTCCCTGATAAAAAAGTGAAAAATTTAATCTATAGTTGTATACTTTTGTCTTAAAACTATATCAGTAAATTTTTAAGGATAATTTTTTTTGCTCCCTCTCTCTTTCCCCTTTCCCCCTTTTGCCCTATTTTATTTGTACCTTTTCTGGCCCAAGAAGGGGGGTTATGCCACTATGCCCCCTCCCTGGATCCGCCACTACTTACCACAGTGCTGCTTAGAGAGTTAATTCTCTGTTATGCGTACCTCACTGGAAGCCCCTCCTCCTCTTATTGTGCTGGATTTTTTATTCAACAGTTGGCCACGCTGGGAGCAGTGTGCCGAAAGTTTTCTTGACCGTTGGCCGTGAACATGAAGGGATGGCGAAGTTTCGAGGCAGGGATCGTCAGTTGCCCCACCTAATTTGGTGGGCAGAGTCACGTAGTTGAATTACGGTGGCTCCGAAAAGTTTCAATCCCCATGTGACAGGTTTTCACAAACTAATCTTATAACTACATTAGGTACAGGTCCTCTGGGTTTAAATGCGTATGAGACATGTAGGATCAAATCAGCACAATGCCAATTTTGGACCAAATTTAAACTCCAATGAATAAAATTAATGAGGACCTTGGAACGAAGTTCAGCTCTAAAGATTTCGAAAATTTACAAAAACAGTATTCAACCCGACAGAAGAACATATTTATCCGTTCTCCGTTTAGGTCGGCTCTCTTGTGCTTTAATGGGTCCAACTATATTATTCTGCGATTACTATTTTTGATCATTATGAAAATCAGGAACGCAGCTATGATATCTGTTTGGTTGAGAGGAAGAGGATGAAGCATAAAAGAGCACTACTCCAAGAAGACCAGACACCCTTTCCTAAGAAAAGTTGGAAATTCAAACTTCCGTAGAGCAATTATTCCCGAAATCTTGAGATCTTTTTTCAGAAAAAATAATTGAATTCATATCCAAAAATGACAGTGATTTCACATAATTGTTTTCTCTCTTTTTTTTCAGAAAACTCTTGGACTATATATTAAAATTTGTGTCCACCTAATTAAGTTGCACCACCTAAAACGGGAAGTACTATCTCTTGCTTACTGCTGAAACTATTCATGTGTGATTGGTTCCCCTACACAGACAGATGCATTTATAGATGAGCCAAAAATAATAGTTCCTCATTGCGTAGTGCAATCCAATCTGACGTCATAAAACAGAACAGGCTTCTTCGTGTTTATTGTGGTAGTTTAAAATGAACAAGAAGCGGAAAAAGCGTAAGGCTAAGTCGCATTTTAGGACGAGGCAGGCCCCTGTTAATTCCGCCTTTGAGACTCCGTTGAGATTTCTAATGTACTCATTGTTCCTAGCTGCATCTTTCAGCAAGGAAGACAATTATCGCATTGGGTTGATTTTCTTACAAGTGCAAGCGTGTCGTTGAATAAAATGTAAGGAGTAAGTGAGCGATACAGAGAAAAGGGGAGAAGAGAACATAGTGTAAACGACGCTATGAATTTTTAAACGATGAAATACGAGCACGTTTCGTGGGAAATCTACGGTCCGCGCATCTCTCATAAAATACTTTTGTCCCAGACTTTTCGCGAAATCTCTGCTAAAAACATGAAGTTCGACGTTCAAAGCGACTGAGGCATATATTGACGTCACCTGACTGCAAGATCGTCGCGATGCATACGATAAGTACGGCCTTTTTCAATCATCTGAAATGGACCACTCGACAGTTGTAGAAATCAAGCATCCCAGCTCATCTTGTTAAATCAAAATTACTTGTAAAACACAATGTAGACATGTTGTCCAATGGTCCATTAAACAAGGTCTGAACCTGGAAAAAGTCCTTTTTCCTTCAAAATCTTACATAGAAAACGATTCTCACAACGGGTAGCTCGAGAATCAACCCCTGAGCGAGAAATTAACAAATATTTTTAACATACATGTAGATCAAATGGAGGTAGAGAGTACACATGACGTCATTTGTATTTTTACTTACCTATCAATCAATTTTATTTTAAACACTCAATTATATATTTTTCAGGAGTTGATTTTCAGACTTCCCGTTTTGTGATTTGCTTTCCTTGTGAAATTATGAAGAGAACGTTGCTTAGTGACTCAATTCATGTCTTGTTCAGAGACTCAATTTAACACGAACAGGTCTAAGATCAGCATTCTTTGTGTTCATGAATTCGAATATTGAGAATTCTTTTCCATTTTAGTATAAAAAACATAGTTATTGAAAAAAAAAAAAATCCAGTTTTGGTACATGAATTTATTTTATGGTTTTTTTTATTATTTTTTTTTTATTTTTTTTTATTTTTTATTTTTTTTTATTTTATTTTATTTATTTTTATGAATTTATTTATTTTGGATATTCAATTTTTCCTTAAATGAACAGAACTCTTGTTTCGCCGGGCAAAATTATTTCATCTTTGAATAAGAACATTTTAATTATCGAATTTTTGAAGCCTTCGGGCAAAAAATACTCCTCAGAAAATTTTGTCTCCGGGAACAAAGGTCGCATCCCTGAGGATGCGGATGATCAGATTCAATCAGTGTTTTGTACAACAAATTATTTTTTAATTTGAACGATTTAGAGGATCAGAGACCAAAAATGACTTGATATTTAATAAAAATTTATTTTATGGTAGTTTTTTTGGTGGAAACAGTATAGCTAACTTGGGATTTTTTTTGAAGCATGGAGCTGAGTAAAGAATACCATCAATGTTACAGTGACTCGAGGAGAATCTGAAAGATGTAGTACAAAAGAACAATTCCAGTTATTTTTGTAATATGGAAAGAACAGTGCAAAGGTTGAATGGAGCTAGGGAATTTTTAATTTCCTCAGTTGCATTCCCCCTCCGTCGCTGAACGCTTCAAAATAAAACTTCTCTCGATGTTGGAATTGATTTACCTACCAATGTTTACTGCTGCAATTTTATATTGTTGAAGGTATCAATGCACTTACCTTTAACATCGGACGGAGCAATTCCTTCAGACAGTGACAAAATAATAATCGTTGAAAAACTTTTCTCCAGTGGGCACTGTTGACTATTATTTGATTTTCGTGCATGTTGAAATTACGAGCTCATCTTGATTCCGTATGCTTGCAGTTTAACATTTTTAAATGGAGAATATTTAACATTACGATCGCCGTTGCTCCGAAAGTGCTGGAAGAAAAACTTTAGGCCTCTTCCCATACCGGTTCGTGGCAAAGTCATAGCCGGTCCTAGGAGGGGGGAGGGTCTGCTCCCCTCCTAGAAATCTACCTTGCCATCTTCAAATTTGTGTGACATTTTGTGAAATAAATACAAGAAATGTCTGTCCACATTGAATGATTACTTTTTATGACAAATTTTCTGGCAAGAACAGCTCAAAATTGCTCCAAAAATGCCTGAATGATTAAACTTTCTGAAGCCCCCCCCCCCCCCCGTCNCGTCTCTCTTTGGAACTGGCAGAGTTCCTTAGGAATTTCTTTGATGACGTATTATTTATCGATTCTTAATAATGTTAGGCCCTTCTCCGCCATCTTGTTGATGCGTTGGTGCGCCATTTGAACGCATTGCCTCTCGTATACTAGAACGCTAGAGACATGCTGAGATTAAAAACCGCTCCCTATGGGCTAAACGACTAAAATGTCTGCCATCACTTTATACATGATAATTTCAAGGAATAATGTTTTTAGACTTTCAGCGAAAGAATACAATTCAAGGGGAAACAACTGCACATTGTTAGGCAGTAAGGCGCTCGGTTTTAATCGAAAATTCGCGTGGAACGTCGTCGCTCTGACATCCAAAAAAACGCGACGCTATGCTGCAGTGCTAAGGAAAAACGCTGTACTAACATTCAAGAATTGTCGAATTTCCTTTGATAAAATGTTTATTTTTAGGGAAAGCTGTGAATATTTTCCCTTGGCATTTTTAGAGACTTGAGATAAAATTGC